ACAATAAATTAAAAAAATTAGATGGGCATGGTAGCGCACGCCTGTAGTTCTGGCTACTTGGAAGGCTAAGGTGGAAGGATTGCTGAAGCCCAGCAGGTCGAGGCTGTAGTGGCTGGGAGCGTGCCACTGCATTCCAGTCTCTGGGCGACAGAGTAACACTCCAACTCAAAAAAAAAAAAAAATTAGAAAGGAATTTAAGAGCAGAAATACATTTGAAGAAGTGAAGACTTCTTAATATTAAGGAAGTTTTCTCAAGCATAAAGTGTATTAGGATCCTTTGGTAGTTGATAAGTGTGGTGATTGGGTGTTTACGCTCATGTGTGAGATATGTCTCCCTCAAACCTTGTTATGAAACCAGCATATTACCCATCTGATGTGCAAAAAAAAAAAAATTCCATAAGAACTTCAACATAGTATATTATCCTCCATCAGAAAAATATCTGATGAAAGCAGAAAATAATCTTTCATACTAGGTACCTTTACATAAAATTTTAATGATTTGTTGGATGCTCCAAGATTATACATTAGCCTCTTGGAGTGTATCATCCTCTTTGGGAGGCTTTTCATGACACAAAGATGCCATTTAGTGAAAGCCATGATTCATGCTAACAGCAGTATTATGCCTCAGCAATCAGAGAGGCAGAGGACTATAAACTATTGCAGTGGCTCACACCTGTAATCCAAGTGCTTTTGTCTAAAAAAAGATCTGGGGGATAGATGAAGAAAATCTGGCAGAAGAATGTAGCAAAGCTTAGAAAGAAGCTTCAGCAGGAAAATGAAAAGCTGGTGTCATTTTCTGTCTTTCCTTTCCAAAAACTTTGGAACATAGTCTTAGAATTACAGACATTAAGACCTAATTTATTCACCCTTTTTTCTCTTTTGATCTTAGAATGAGATCAAAATTTGGTTTCTGAACTAAACTGTTTATTAACTCTACATGGACAAGTTGTGAGTTAATTACAGGATAAAGACTAAACATATGAATATAGATTTCTTAGAAAAGGAGTAGGCCTTATTTAACTAGACTTTTATTTTGTAAATAAAACCCTTACAAGGTCAAATAGTGTTATCTGATTTGAAGACCTGTGAAATTTAAGAATTTCTATAATTAAAGAATCTTTAAAGTACAGAAAACTTTAAAATGAGATTACAGGCAATTTAATACACAATTTAATGACTAGTTTAATGGGTTGGCTGATTTGTTTTCTAGTGAAAATATTTTATCTAATGTAAAAATACTGGTAAAGTTCTTAATGGTAAGGAAGAAAAATCTGTGTATAAGAAAGGTTAGGCCAGGTGCAGTGGCTCACACCTGTAATCCCAGTACTTTGGGAATCTAAGGCAGTAGGATCACTTGAGCCCAGGAATTTGAGACCAGCCTGGGCAACACAGCAAGATCTCGTCTCTATAAAAAAGTTAGCTGGGTGTGGTGGTGCATGCCTATAATCCCAGCTACTCAGGAGGCTGACACAAGGAGGATCCCTTGAGCCAGAAGTTGGAGGCTGTGGTGAGCCATGATTGTGTCACCTTACTCCAGCCTGGCAAAAGAGTAACTAAAAAAAAAAAAGTAAATAGAATCAATCTATAGCCCACTAATAACTACAAAAAGAGAAACTATGGTTCTTTTTACTTTGTCAAAGTTCTGCATCTGTTCCCGGTTGGTCAGCCAGGATTCCATGTCCTGGGCTGTCTGAATCACAAATGCTTCATAATCTGCAAACATCTGTGTAAAGCGGTTAGCAAAGACCTCTCGGAGCTGGACATTAAGCTGGTAGTCCCTCAGTTCTGTTTCTTCACACTGTAGCTTTAAATCCTTGTCTTTTTCACCCAGAGAAGCAGAGAGGTCCATCTTCTCCACAGTCACACCAGTCCGCTTGGCCAGAGCCTGCAGGCGGGCTATAGTCTCATTGCCCTTCAGTAGCTCATACATGCTGATGTTATTAGTGGAGACATTGCCATTCTTCTTGTCATTGACTAAGTCTTTCAGAACCAGATTCTTCAGTTTGGTGGCACTCTCACTGCGATGCAAGCAGCCCTCAGGAGGAATCCCAAATTGAAGAAGGACTTCAGAGAGCTCCTGGATAAAATCCATTTTATTGGGGAACTGTGGAAATTCTTCAGGCAACTCAATGAAATGGTTGTCAATATCCACGAAACACAAATTAGCCTGAAAGAGGAAAAAGAAATGTAAAAGCTTAAAATAAAGAAAGTTTAAGTTCTAAAATACTTTTGAGGCCGGGTATGGTGGCTCACGCCTGTAATTCCAACACTTTGGGGGCCTGAGGTAGGAGGATCACTTGAGCTCAGGAATCTGAGACCAGCTTGGGCAGCACAGTGAGAACTCATCTCTACAAAAAAATTTTTAAAAATTAGCCCGGAGTGGTGGCACGCTAGTCCCAGCTACTTGGGAGACTGATGCAGGAGGATCACCTGAGTCGAGAAGGTAGAGGCTATGGTGAGCTGTGATGATACCATTGCATTCCAACCTGGGTAACAGAATGAAACCCTGACTTTAAAAAAAAGATCTCGATATTTAGTAAAACCAAAAGTTTGAATTACACTGCCTTTTATTTTAATCATCTCAATGTTCAGAATTTTTTCTTTTTTTTTTTTGAGTTGGAGTTTCACTCTATTGCCCAGGTTGGAATACAGTGGCACACTCACAGCTACTGCAGCCTTGACCTACTGGGCTCAGGTGATCCTTTCCACCTCAGTCTTCCAAGCAGCTGGAACTACAGACATGCACCACCACGCCCAGCTAATTTTTTGATTTATTGTAGAGATGAGGTCTTGCCAAGTTGCCCAGGCAGGTCTCGAACGCCTGGACTCAGATAATCTACCTGCCTCTGCCTCCCAAAGTGCTGGGATTACAGGCATGAGCCATTGTGCCCGGCTCAGAATTTTTTATTCTTTAAAAATAATCTTTTTTGCCAGCATTTCCCATGTATTTTACACCCCGTCTCTGTTGCCGAGGCGACATTATAAGCTGAACATGGTTCTCCACCATTTGGCTTCTATTAGGTGTTTCTAAGCAGGTAAGGGTGCCAGACTCAGGACCTTACAGACAGGACAACTCCAGGTAAAATGCTCACTGAATGAGCTTCATTTTCTTTGCCATTCCTCCACTCTGACAACACCTGTCATTTAGAATTGACAATAATGGCTAAAAATCAGCAGCTGCAGTATCCCCAAATAGGAAGAAATTGACAAAATCAATCCAATTCACAGATAATTCCCAAATTTTAACATTACTCAAAATTTGCTAAACCTGTTGGACGCAAAACCTTTTCCGAAGTCATTATACAAAAAGCAGAAGGCAGAGAGAGGTGGTGATGGCAAGTGTTTAGATAACTCCAAATGATTGATTTCTGAATAAAGTTGACTCAAAAGATATTTCTGCGTTAAGAAAAAGAGGTGACAGGGCTGGGCATGGTGGCTCACACCTGTAATCCCAGTAATTGGGAGGCCAAGGTGGGAGGACTGCTTGAGCTCAGAAATCAGTCCAGAAAACCTGGGAAAACGTGGTCTCTACAAAAATAAAATAAAATAAAAAAAAGAAGCGGTGACAGAAACCAGAATTTTTCTTTTTAGAATTTGCTTACACTCTAGATCTGGAATTTATTTTGAATAAACAGACTTTGAAATATTTTTCAACTAGATGTAGAAAATTCAAGAGCCCAAGCATATACATAAAATTCTGATTAGCCCTCAGATACCTGACCATAGTAGACTCTAAACAGTATTTTACCTTTACTGTATATATTTTCTCTCTTTTTTTTCTTTTTGAGTTGGGTTCTTACTCTATCACCCAGGCTGAAATGCAGTAGCATGATCAGGACTCCTTGTAGCCTGATCTCCTGGGCTCAGGCAATCCTTACATGTCAGCCTCCCAAGTAGCTGGGACTACAGGCACACACCCAACTGGTTACTTTTGTTATTTTTTGTAGAGACAAGGTCTCACCATGTTGCCTAGGCTGGTCTCAAATTCCTGGGCTCAAGCAATCCTCCTGTGTTGGTCTCCCAAAGTGCTGGGATTACAAGCATGAGCCACTTTGCCCGTCTGTCCATACTCTCTTAATCAGAACAAGGTTGTCAGTGAAAACAAAGGTTGTGCACCAAAGGCATAGCCCACCAGAGAAAAATGATCCCGATTACATTAATAGCTGAACATAAGGTATTGGGTGAGAGTCAGTAAACAAAATAGGAAACTTCACCCTGTGTTTCTCCTTGTCTCCCCACCCCAGGTCACCCAAGGACAGAATTCATATTGTCCTCTGATCCTGAATGGCAAGATAAGGGGCAAGTGGAAGGCACACATTTGGATCTTTCTTTTCTCTTTCGACTCCTGCTCTTCATGTTAGATGCCAAAAAAGATAGTAAGGTTCCAAATTAAGTACAATAGAAACTCAAGATTCTCCCCATTTAAAGCTGATAATAAACAATGTTTCCTAGAGCCTGATGTAATCTTTGGAGCTAGTCCTTTAATTCTGGAGATGAAGAAACTGAAGTCCAAGAAGACAGGAACTTTCTGGCACCTGCAGAGTACGTGTATCCCCTTCCCTGATCTCCATTTCTCTCATCTCCATTGTCAGCAGTTTTCGTTAAATAACCTAACAGCCAATCTTGCTGAAGACAATAGTGCTGCCTTCAACTTTCTTTATCCGCATCTTTATACGTGTATTTTCAGTCTCTAGAAAGCAGGATGCATCGAAAACTTAAGAGGAGAAAGTCATCATAATTCAAATTGAGTAATTCAGTATCTTCAAAAATGGAGGAAAATTCACTTATTTGGGAGACAGGGTCTTGCTTTGTTGCCCAAGCTACAGTTCAGTGATGTGATCATAGCTCACTGTAGCCTCAAACTTCAGGACTCAAATGATCCCCCTGCCTCAACCTCCCCAGTAGCTGGAACCACAAATGCATGCCACCACGCCCAGCTAATTTTTAAAAATGTTTTTGGAGAGATAGGGTTTCATTATGTTGCCCAGGCTAGTCTCAAACTCCTGGCCTCATGCAGTCCTCCTGCCTTGGCCTCTCACAGTGCTGGGATTACAGGTGTGAGCCACTGCGCCCAGCATCACTAATTTGTTAATCTAACCTAACCAGCAACCTCCCAGCACTTAGATTTTGTACTGTCCCCTTCATTAATGCCTTCTTGCTATCCTTTTCTACTCTTCTCCTCCCATTAAAAGAGAAAATGAGAAAGAGGAAAGTCTTTCATATCCTACATCTGATTAGAAGGGTCCAAGTAGGGGTTTTGACTATCACAAAGTAGAAATAGGAAACACAAATAGTGTTATGAGAGTTTATTGAAGAGAACCAAAAAGCCCTTCTTCTGAAACAAATAACGACTCTATAAAATTGGGCATAACTTTTTCACTTTTAATGCCATTGAATTAAAAAAATTATTTCAGAAGAGCTCAGGAAGTATTACATACATGATAAAACAATTAGTCAACATATTAATATGACATTGTTTTAGAACCAAATATTTCTACTGATCAACACTGCTCACTAATCTTCATGACATATAATTAATTATAATTATAAACAACAAAAGGGCCAGGCACATTGGTTCATGCCTGTAACCCAAGCTCTTAGGGAGGCTGAGGTGAGAGGATTTCTGAGCCCAGGAGATTGAGCCCAGCCTAGGCAAACATAGCGAAATCTCGTCTCCACAAAAAAATTAAAAAATTAACTGGGCATGGTGGTATATGCCTATAGTCCCAGCTACTTGGGAGGCTGAGGTAGACGGATCACCTAAATCCGGGAGGTCAAAACTGGTGAGCCATGAACATGCCACTGCACGCTAGCCTGGGCAACACAGTGAGACCCCAAATCAAAACAAAACAAAACACAAAACCAACGAAAGTTCCCTCAAAATTAAGAAAATAAAGGCTTGAAATTTAATTATGTCTTCCACCATGAAACCTTCCTATACCCCCTGCCCTTAAGGTACTCTGATTGCCTCTTTATATTCTCTGTATATCCTCTGTTCACTCATTTCTTTTACTGACTTATTCTTTAAACCCATGTTATTGATATTTGTAAATAACTTTTTTGGAAAGCAGAGAACACCTCTTACTTATCTTGATGTCTCCCACTGTATTCTACACAAATAGTACGTGGGATTTGTTTGATGAATGAACAAATAAGCTTTGAGGAGATGGTCATTTGGGGGAACCCCAAACTATAGGCAGGAGCAGGAAGTATCCAGGAATATGAGTCTAAGGCAGTGCTCTTCATGTTTTGTAGGTGATCTAGCTTCTCAGTGTCTGAAGCTAATTAAAGCCAGAGTGGGGTGAGCCAGAAGAGAACATTTCAAATATTCCCTCAGATTCTTAGGGCAGATATGACCAAAAGTGGTAAAAGCAGTTCTATTTCAGTTTTTTCTTGATTTTTTTTGTTCACCACTTGCTGCAAAGACCCAATTCCTCTTCAGTGCTATGCCCTTCCACCCGCGCTCTGCCTACCTCACTCACTAAGGCGCAGTATTACAAACAGCTATTTGTGTCTATCATTTTTGAATCAGTGAGTGGGAACAGTGAGTGGGTGGTTAATTTTAAACCCATGTAGCTACATAAGTTAACTAACAACTACAATTATACCTTCTTAAATTAATCATTTCATAAATTTGCATTTTTACAAGATATTTTTAGAAGCCTTGTCACTATTGTTTCTTTTTTCTGGAGTCGGGGTCTCATTCTGTCGCCCAGGCTGGAGGGCAGTGGCACGGCTCACAGCCACTGCAATTTGACCTGCTGGGCTCAGGTGATCCTTTTACCTCAGCCTTCCAAGTAGCTGGAACTACAGACATGCCTGGCTAGTTTTTTTGATATATTGTAGCGATGAAGTCTCATCATGTTGCCCAGGCTGGTCTCAAACCCCTGGGATCAGGCAATCCTCTCACCTTGGCCTCCCAAAGTGCTGGGATTATGGGTATGAGCCACCGTGCTTGGCCATCTTGTCACTATTTTTAGCCATTATTTTATTTCAGAGTTTTCAGTGAAAGAGGGAAGTAGTACTAGTGAGTGCATTTAAGTAATTTTTTAAAATGACTATTGTTATATCCACTTCCTCCCCCAAATTATATGAAGCGAATTATTTCATCTCATTGTAAAATGATATCACAGCAAAGTCATAGACTGTTAGGTTTTTCTCCTAAAACACTGAAGCACTAATTTATAGTTTCTAGCCGGGCTCAGTGGCTCAGCCTGTAATCCCGCGCCTTTGGAAGGCTGAGGTGAGTGGAATGCCTGAGCCCGCGGGTTCAAGACCCACCTGGTCAGCGAGACCTCATCTCTACAATAAATCAAAAAATCAGCTGGGCATGGTAGAGCATGCCTGTAATTCTGGCTGCTTGGAAGGCTGAGGCGGAAGGATCGCCGGAGCCCAGCAGGTCGAGGCTGCAGTGGCCGGGAGCAGCCACTGCACTCCAGCCTGGGCGACAGAGTGAGACTCCAACTCAAAAGAAAAAAGAAAAAAATTATAGTTTCTATATCAAAGTACTGCTATTTTCATAGGTGATTCAGGTTACTTCATTTTATTCTACTCTGTGAATAGATTACTATGTGTATTTAATAGCATTGACCTCATGACTGAAAAATTTAAAAAATCAGACAATACTACAAAAACTTTTATTTATTTATTTATGGCATCAGGGTCTCATTCTCGCCCAGGCTGCAGTATAGTGGTGCCATCGCCATCATGGCTCACTGCAACCTTGACTTCCTGGGCTCAGGAGATCCTTCTGCCTCAGCCTCCCAAGCAGCTAGGATTACAGGTGTGCATCACCATGCCTGCCTAATTTGTTGATTTTTTGTGGAAATGGGCTCTCGCTATGCTGCCTAGGTTGGTCTTCAAGTCCTAGGCTTAAGCAATCCTTCGCCTTGGCCTCCCAGAGTGCTGGGATTACAAGCATGAGCCACTATGCCTGGCCCTGCAAAAGTTTTTAGAATTCTTAAGTTTATCTTTAGATTCAGAGTATACACACAGACATAAAGACAGAAAGGTTTCATCAACTCTATCAAGGTGGCATTTTAATATTTCTCAACAATTATTACTCATACAATTGAAAGACAATAATTATACACCTAATAAACTGTCATAAAATATTACTTGATCAGAGACTCCAGAAGAAACTAAAACATGTCATTGTTTAAGTCTTCAAAACAAAATGCATTTGGCTAGTCTATTTCTTTCTGCTTGAAAATTTGAAGAATTTACTTCTTTGAGCCAGTAAGATACTAGATTAACAAAAGAGAAAACAAGAAAATTCAAGGAACAGAGAAGAGGTAAAATGAAAAGGAAAAAGAAAAAAACATGCACAAGCCACAAAAGAACAAGACAGCTTGCATGTGTATTTTATATGATCTGAATCAAGCTATTTTCCTTTGAACAAAAATGTTAATTTTGGTGGGAAAACATTCCATTAGAATAAAAACAAGCAATGGATGATTACAGGAATCATTACTGGGTGTGATGACTGTAGCTTAGTGTGTTATTTTAAATTCACTTACTAAAATGAAAATCTCTATGGGAAATAAGAAGAAATAAAAGTGGAGCTCAGCATGAGAGATTTTATTAAGAAAGGTGCTAATTAAATAGCTAATAATATAATTAACCATTTTATGATTTTTAATAGGCTGTGGCACTCTCATCAATATTTTATTTCAAAGGTTTTACATTGTAATTCTGAGTACCATTAACAATAGCTAAAAATCAGATTCAAAATACCTTCAAGAATTTTTATTTTCTTCTTAAACAAAGTTTGAAAATACACAGAAATTGGACAGAAAGGTAGATCATGCCTATACTCCTAGTACTTTGGGAGGCAGAGGTGAGAGAATTGCCTGAGCCCAGGGTTTCAGGACCAGCCTGGGCAACTTGGTGAGTCATCTTTAAAAAAAAAAAAAAAGAAAAGAAAATACACAGAAATCTAGGGGTTAGAATTTTTATCTCAACTACCAAGTCAAGGTGAAATTTATAACAGGGTGATAACTGGCCTTATGTCTGAAACACAAAATACTGAAGTATTTGATATTTTCATTATCTCTAGTTTGTTGAAAGACATTACGTTTCATTTGATAGACGTCAAAAATCAAATTCTCTTCAACTGATAAATGGTTTTAAAACCCTAGGATACATAGGTTAGATGTTAAACTTATAACATAAGTGAAGAAAAGAAATGAAATGTTTATTAAACTTATAAAGCAATGACCCAGGCGTGGTGGCTCAGCACTCTGGGAGGCTGAAGTAGGGGAGCTGTTAGAGCCCAGGAGTTAAGACCAGCCCGGGCAACACAGCGAGACCTTATCTCTACATAACAATTTAAAAATTAGCTGGGTGTGATGGCGGGAGCCTCTAGTCCCGGCTACTTGGGAGGCTGAGGCAGGAGGATCGCCTGAACTCAGGAGGTCAAGGCTGCAGTGAGCTGTGATCATGCCACTGCATTCCAGTTTGGGCAACAGAGTAAGATCCCGATTCAAACAAACAAAAAAAGCAAAAACAACAACAAAAAATGAGATCACGCTACTACTGCTCCATCTTCACAAATCTGTAGTTGTGAAAATGTGCCACTGTCTTGTTCTGAACCATGTTTAATGACTATGTGGAAGTCACCATCAGGAGTCACGATCTGCATTCTATGGCTCAGGCTGTGTCTGGCCATACCTGGGAGGTTCAGGAGAGTCAAAGGCACACAATTTGAACAAAGAAAATGCTATCTAATGAAAGTAGCTTTGACCTAAATCAACAAACACCAAATGCTTCACCATTCATTGTAAGTTTTACCTCTTGAGGAAGTTCCAGTTTGGACCGGTCAGTTCCTTCTTTTGACTGAAGGCCCATCAGATAAGGGACAGGAGCATCAAGAAAATGTAGCAGAGAAGCAGGGAGGATAGGCACATAAACATGCTGCCACTGAAATGGGAACAAAAGTGTGGTGATGCCTTCTGCCACAGTCATCAGGCGCTGATAGTCTGCAAAGAACAAGGAAGAACAAAGGGGAAGAGTTCAAGTAAAAACATAATCACCACATTAAAATTTCAAGGAAAACAATTATACATAAAAAATAAATGTTTTATACATAAAAATAAATGTTTCTTTCTGATTATGCAGAATATAGGTCAGTTCTAGTCCACCATAATTAAACAATTAAATGGTTTCATTTGCATGGCTTCAAGGGAATGTAGGTAGGTGGGAAGCATCATCATGCTCTTTGCTTCTTCAAATCACTTCTCAGGAATCACTCTATGTACATGCACATTTTCTTAACGTATGGAAGACTCAAAAGTTAATAAAATTGTCCTTGGTACTTATCTCACTGAAAACATACAAGATATAGTATACTGATATATCAATCACCAGCCAGGTGTGGTGGCTCATGCCTGTAATCCTGCATTTTGGGAGGCTGAGGTGAGATGATTGCTTGAGCCCAAGAGTTCAAAAGACCAGCTTAGGCAACATAGTGAGACTTCATCTCTACAAAAATAAAAAAATTAGCTGGGCATGGTGGCATGTGCCTATAGTCCCAACTACTTGAAAGTGTGTAAAATTAATTAAATATATAAGTAAATAAGATCTATCAATCACGTTTTATATACATGCATACTTATACACTCTCCAGTTCAGGACATGTTTTTCCTTGTACAGTATATATGATCATGGCTATAGTCTTTGGTTAGCTGATTACATTTCTTATAGCCCTCATCTGTGGGTACAAGAAATCAAACATAAATATATTCATAGTCACACTTCCTATATCTAAATCCTAACCACAGAACTATCACATCTAGGGATAAAGTGAGTTAATAGAAAATTACAAGATGGTGTTTTTGTTGTATTTTGTTTACACAAACTAATTTGTCAAAACTAAAAATGGTCCACAATATTAAAAGTGGCCTTTTAAGCCACTCTGCCATGGATGCTTTATACTTACACATATGTCCATAGTCCCTATTTAAATGTTTGGAGGCAGATGTGTTTTAGAATTTGGATTCTTCAGTTTAGAAAAGTATGGTACATATACTATATATGAACTATAAGTACCTATAATCAAATACGAGGAAGATCCCCCCCCAAAAAAACCCCAATTATTTTTTAGAGGGCAGGATCCTTATAGTACAGGCTTCCCCGACTAGGCAAGTTTTCTAGGACCCATGGGCATCAGTGTACAAGCCAGCATTGTTGTGAGAAGCTGCGTTCAGCTTCAGTGAATTTTTTTTGGAGATTTTTTTCAATGTGTTTGCTCATTTCATAAGGAGTGATTTCATAAGGAGTGATTTACAAGTGCACCTGCTCACACCATGCTGAGTGTTCAGCAGTTTTTGACCAATAACAGCATGATCCCTGTGTCCCACCCCCTCATTCATCTGATCTCACCTCAGGTGACTTATTTTTGTTTCCCCAGTTGAAAAAAGTCCTCAGAGGGAAATGTTTTGTCAATGTGGAAGAGGTGAAACCAAAACAGCAGAAGCACTAAAAGACATTCAAATTAGCGGGTTCAAAACTGTTCTGAGTAGTGGAAAAAGCATCTCAATAGGTGCACTGCATCAAACAGAGTACTTTGAAGGTGACTGAAGTTTAAACATGTAAGAACACACAATTTTTATTAATAAATTTTGGGTTTTTTTTGGGGGGGTCCCCTCTTGTACACGAATATTTCTACAGTAAACCATTTGTGTCCCAGCAGGGTAAATAGTAAAAGAGTATGAATAGAGTCACTTTGGTTCAAGTCTGGTTTTGCCGATAAATTAGTTACAAAAATAATGTTTGGTTTACAGAATTTTTTGGATTTGAGAACTGAAGATAAGGGATTACAGTCTAGTAATAATCCTTTCACATAATTTGTGGTACGCAAATAATAAGCTGGGGGAGGATAGCTATGGGGAGTCTTTTAAGTCAAAACCTTTAACAGTCTACAATGGGATTTTGGTAATGGACCACCAGCTATTCCCAGGCCAAGTATACTTAAAATCTTCCTTTTTTTTTTTTTTGAATCTTGGTCTCCCTCTGTTATCCTGGCTGGAGTGCAGTGGCATGATCATGGCTCACCACAGCCTCGACTTCCTGGGCTCAGATGGCCCCTCTACCTCAGCCTCCCAAGCAGCTGGGACTCACTATAGGCGCACCACCATGCCCAGCTAATTTTTTGTAGAGATGAGGTCTTGCTTCATTGCCTAGGCTGGTTGATTCATGATCAAGACTGAAATTTGCCAGGCTTGGTGGCTCAGCCTGTAATCCCGCGCCTTTGGGAGGCTGAGGTGAGTGGATGGCCTGAGCCAGCGGGTTCGAGACCCACCTGGGCAGGCGAGACCTCATCTCTACAATAAATAAAAAAAACGAGGCGGGCGTGGCAGCACGTGCCTGTAGTTCCAGCTACTTGGAAGGCTGAGGCGGAAGGATCACGGGAGCCCAGCAGGTTGAGGCTGCGGTGGCCGGAAGCAGCCGCTGTACTCCAGTCTGGGCGACAGAGTGAGACTCTAACTCAAAAAAAAAAAAAAAGACTGAAATTTTAGGTGAAAACCTGTTTATGAGAATACATGGCCTGAAAGGTAGGGACAACAAAGAGTTGACCCAATTACTTGGGGTGGACACACACACACACACACACACACAGAGGGTCAACTGAGGCCCACAGAGGAAGCTGGGCTGAGACAGCTGGTACTTTCCATGAAGATGAGGGGGCAAAGTCAGAGGAGATCAGAAATCAGTTATCTACCGCTCTGCTAGTAATCAGGCTGATGTTTCAACTGGAGGAGATGAGGAGTGGGGTGGGGAGGATAAGCTGACCTGAAATCCATGAAGTATGTGAATGGTCCCTAGGTTTAGAAACTATGCTGTTGCCAGAACTAACTGTAGTTCTGCACTGTCACGAGACTCACTTATGGCACTTGCCCCATGCTGCTATTTCTCCTTGGGTTCCCTAAGGGCAGAGTGGCCTTTACCGACAAAGCACAGGATGTAGTTCATAGCCAGTGCTGACTACAATATACTGCCAAATTTACTGATGCTACTAAAAATGTACTCGTTCAAAGAATCTTAACAAAATAAAAAACAAATAAACTAGGAGTAGGAAGACAGGTCGACAATTAATTATTTAAAAAAAATCCAGAGAAATGTCCTTAGAGTTCATTCTGTGATCAAAGATTGGGGGTCTTTTTGTAACCTCAGCACTTAGCACTGTATCTGGCATATAATAGAAGCTCAAAAATATTTTTGAATAAATGACTTAGTAGGTAAGAATATATAATTTTGCTGGATAGCCACAAGTTAAATAGACATGCATAGATTTAATTCACATGAGATTAAAGAATCAGTAATTTTTTAGTAGGAGAAAATGATAACTACTAACACAAGAAACCGTTTCTTGAAAAAAACACATTTCTTGAGATATTCAGTTAATTATGTACATGCCCAGATACATTATAAGAAAAATCCAAATATCCATTTACTAAGCCTTGGTTATTGTTCATCTTGCAGAGAAATGTTACCAAGTGACTCATTCTAACTACATATACGCAGATTTTAAAGGGATCAGAACTCTTATAAACAAAAAAATCATATCTTAATATTTTACACCTTCCATATTAAAAATGTAAAAATTCTGGCCGGGCTCAGTGGCTCAGCCTGTAACCCTGCACTTTGGGAGGCCGAGGTGAGTGAATTGCCTGAGCTCGCGGGTTCGAGACCCACATGGGCAACTTGGCGAGACCTCAACTCTACAATAAATCAAAAATTAGCTGGGCGTGGTAGCGCGCGCCTGTAGTTCCAGCTACTTGGAAGGCTGAGGCGGAAGGATCGCCGGAGCCCAGCAGGTCAAGGCTACAGTGGCCAGGAGCGGCCACTGTACTCCAGTCTGGGTGACAGAATGAGACTCCAACTCAAAAAAAAAAAAAAAAAAGTAAAAATTTTAACAATAAAGTGTAATGCAGGTTTCCCAAGGCCCTTTAGAATGGGAAAGACTCTCAGGAGATTCCATAGCTTTCTGGAAGTGACCAAAGAATAACAAAACTCGGTGTCGTTCTCTCAGGAAGATATTTTTTACATGCCACTCCTGAAATGGGAAGAGAACAGAGCCCACTGAAAATTAAGAGAAAAAAATAACTTCAAATTCATTTCATTTAAATATTTTATGATTTGACCATATTAAAACTGTACAGGATGTCCTGTGTAGGTGAGCTATTACAAAAATAACTTGAATGTTCTTATGTAAATTTGCTACTTTAAAAAACTGTTATTCATTTTACCAGGAGTTTTATGGAGATTTATTGTCACAAAAATAGTTTCATAAATAAATCTTTACCAGGGTTTTTTTGGGTATTGCTAATTAAAGGTTAGTTTTCTAAGATAATCACTTCCTTTAAAAAGGGCACTGTTTCTATGTTTCTAACTCAGTTAGCTTTTTAAACCTCTCTCTCTACTAAAATTAAAATCTAAGTTTTAAAAAATAATTATGATTTTTACAACAACAAATAGAAAAAGTAATAGCCCTTCAATAATTTAAAGTAAGGGTATATTCATTTTCCATTCACTACCCACCTCCAACTTTAAAATGCCTTACTTGGGAGCAATTTTTTTTTTGGAGTCAGAGTCTCACTCTCTCACCCAGGCTGGTGCAGAAACAGGCTCACAACCACCACAGCCTTGACCTGCTGGACCCAGGCAATCCTCCCACTTCAACCTTCTAAGTAGCAGGAACCACAGGTGTACACCACCATACCTGGCTAATGTTTTAATTTATTGTAGAGACAAGGTCTCGTCAAAAGTTGCCTTTGTTCGTCTCAAATTCCTGGGCTCAAGCAATTCCCTCACCTTCACCTCTCAAAGTGCTGGGATTACAGGTGTGAGCCACTGTGCCAGGCTGTTAGGAATCATTTTTTTTTTTTTAATAAAAAAGGAGGAGTGAGAAGATGCACCTGGTTAAGAAATACTTATTAATAATTTATTCCGTCAATGTCCTTCCATCAAAAAAACCCCTAGTAACATAC